TCCTGGAACTTGACAAGGATTCTTTTTTTGTTTTTCAGTCTGTGGCATGCCACGATAGATCCCTGCATTTCTACCTTGAGTTTGTCTTTGATCGCTTTAGTTGCGATGGTCCTTGTTTCGGCTGGGGTCTCAACTCGGTCAGATGGGGGAACAGGAATTGTCTTACCGCTCAGAATCAGAGATGTTTTCCTGCTATACTGTTCATTTTTCTCTAAAGCTCTTTCCATGGTCATCATTTTTACCTTCAAGCAGCTATTTTCCTCCTTCACCTTGTCTAACTCGACACGGAGTGAGTCAGTCGCCTCTCTCACCGCTCTCTCTACTAGCTCCTTCACCTCGTCCATTGTGACACCCATTCCCAGATCACTCACAGACAAATTAATAACACGGAAACTATAGGATATAATTGAGAACCGAAGCACTAGTCACCGACAGACACAACCACAAGCACAATCACAGCACAACCACAGCACAAGCACAACTCACCACTCACAGAACACTCCCTGGAGAAAAAGAAAGAAGAGAATAGAAATTACCAAAGTAGACTAAAGAGACAAAACACAAAAATAACCAGATTAAACTAAAGATCCAATAAGGCTACCCCCACAATCACACAAACCACACAAAAGTCACTGTGCAAAGCGCCACAAACGCCCCGCTCAGACACGTCCTCTCTCTACGGAGTCCCGACACGGAGTCCCTAATTCAAGGCCATATAACCAGGTATGGTCATCAGGCTTTTTTTTACCGTCCCCCTACCGGGCCCGAATGACGTCATTGGGATGGTAACTCGCCGGCCGCCGTCCGTAGCCATTATGGAGGACGGACGTTTAAATACGTTTTCAGCGGATTTTAGTGCAGTTTTGATGTCCGATGCAAGGCAGAACGGTGTGATGTTTCCTCAGTGAAGCAAATCAGGACCAGCTGTTACTCGAACCAAAGATTTGGCGACATTATTGGGATCGGACCGAGCCAACGTGCGCCCCGCCGGTGATCCGGCCAGCACATCGGCGGCTCTCTCGTAGATGAAAATCGCCATAGTTTTGCGCCAGGCTTCGGAGTCAATGGATTTCTGGTGACTCTGACTCCAACCGCGACTTCCAAAAACCAACTCCGACTCCGACTCCGGGCTGGGTAATCAACTCCGACCGACTCTAACTCCGACTCCGCAGCCCTGCCAGATCTGCGGAGCGGCCAGGGCTGCGGAGTCGGAGTCGGAGTCGGTCGGAGTCGACAGTTGTGACCGGAGTCGGAGTCGGAGTCGACTTTAGAAACCCGAGCCGGAGTCGGAGTCGGAGTCACCGAAAATATGTCGACTCCGCAGCCCTGCTAGGTCTGCGGAGTCGGAGTCGGGAGTTGGAGTCGGTCGGAGTCGACAATTCTGCCCGGAGTCGGAGTCGGAGCTGGTTTTTTAAAGCCGGAGTCGGAGTCGGAGTCGCCGAAAATCCATCGACTCCGCAGCCCTGGCGGAGCCGATGGATTTTCGGTGACCCCGACTCCGACTCGGTTTCCAAAATCGACTCCGAGTCCGGTCAGAACTGTCGACCCTGACTCCGACTCCGCAGCCCTGGTTTTGCGTCTATTTCGCCCCATAATTAAGAGAGGTGTGAACTGCACAAACCGAAATTGTACCGTAACACAAGTATATGTACACATTCCAAACTTCTGACTGGAACGAACCAAATGCGTACACAATATACCGGTTTATGTCATACCATAAATCGTAGTTATAAAAAACCATATTGGACATATTGGTAGAGGACAAATAAGGCACAAGCCTAATCTCTTGCGACTTGAGTAGGTACAATAAAATGCTCCGAACTGTCGGAAAGTTGTACAAGATGTCGCCTCTCCAAACACAATGTGCCGATTGACTCCGCGACAGCCAGGAACCGGGCAACATAACACGTGAAACAGAGCGGTGGCACCTCAGCACAGGCTCCCCAAGCTCGTCAAGGCGGCGAGAAAGGTCCGGCAAGTCGGTAACAGGTTCACCACGGCAGCGACAGGTCAGGCAGGTCGGCAGCAGATTCACCAGGGCGGTGGCAGGTGCGACAGGTCGGCAGCAGGTTTACCAGGGCGGCGACAGATCCGGCAGGGCGACGGCAGTTTCACCAGGGCGGAAGCGTAGACGCGGCGGCAGGTCCGCCGGGGTGGCAGCAGGTCCAGGGCGGCCGCAGGCTCACCAGGGCGGCGACAGGTTCGGCAGGGCGACGGCAGTTTCACCAGGGCGGCAGCGTAGACACGGCGGCAAGTCCCAGGGCGGCTCAGGCTCACCAGGGCGGCGACAGGTCCGGCAGGTCGTCGGCAGGTCGGCCTCAGCAGCAGGCAGTCAGCACTAGCAGATTCTCGGGGCAGCCCTGGCTGAGGTGGGATGTCATCAGAAACTGCACGTCTGAGTGCCGGTGTCGGATGTCGTACAGACCACGCAGCGAGGCTTTACTGCGCAGCACGCCCTGCTGGCAGCGCAGGAGTGTCGGCAGCCCAGCGGGTGCTTTCGGGTCGCCTTCCTCAACTTCCTTTCGGAAACTGGCGCTCGCCACTCAGGGAGTCGGGCGACGTCTCCAAAGCTGGGAGACAGATGCTGAAGTCGATATGATGTGATTTTATGCCCTCAGCTCGGTGCCAGTCATTGTGTTGTTATGTGCAGGTAGCCACTCCTCGCCGTCCTGCACGCCAGAGGACCAGCCCCGGACCTGCAAAACACATTACCAAGTTTATTAACACAATACAACATGAAAAAGTTCACTAAGCGATGGCAAGCAAAAATAATCAATGCCCAAAGGTGCCTTTTCTTCGATTGCCTTTTCTATGTGCTGATATGAAGCCTCAAAACATGTACCATTTTATATTATGTATTGATTGCAGGCCTGACTCAGAATTCAGTTGAAACAAGCAAATAACACAATTTTTCATTATTATTTTGAATTTGGGTCTGGCATTACTGTTCCATGCACAGGTGCGTCTGCGTATAAAATCATATGAAGCAAATGCATTAGGTAAATAGTCTCAACAAATAGAAATTAGTAGTAGCACAGGTGGTATAAATAGAAACCAATATATAGACATTAGACAAGGATGAGCTTGTTTAGTTAGCAAATGTCAATGACATAACATTTACATAAACAAGAATGGGATTTTCAGTAATAAACATGTCAGAAATCCTTTTAAATTCAATTTTGAAAGTTTAGATACAGATTATAAAATCTGGCAACAACTAATATTGAAAAGAAGTAACAATGAGCTTCAACTTTGCACAAAAGATGTGCCAAAATTTTGGTGAGAAATCACTTGAGCTGAATTTTGAGACCCGAAAGCCCCTGGGCCCTGACGCATCTGACAGTGAGTGAATTTTTTTTCCAGTCTGGGAGGTAAGCATAGATTGATTTGTTATTTGATACTATTTAATTTGACAAATAAGTTGTTATTTTCACAAAGCATTAAGATTTATAGAAGCTAACCACTTCCGATCCGAAACAATTTACAACTATTCCATCTCCATTCTCCTTCTCATTATGTTTTAAACAATGCTAAGGTATTTTACAACTTAATATGAGATTATCATGCTCCCTTTGAAAGCCAAAAATGACAAAAAAAAGGTTAAACCGGGTTGAACTGAAACGTGGCTGATCTGCCTATGATACTCATGCTTATACAGTTGAATTAATTGAATACCTGAGCTGAACTGCTGAAGCTGGTCATTCTTCATGATCTCTGAGACGACAAGTGTGTGAATGCCACTTATGTATATGCTTTTCCGATCTTCAAACACATAAAAAGTGATATTATTATCAAATAAACAATATTCAAACTCCGTATAACAATACACGCAACGGCTGGAAAACACTGCGCCGGTGCGCCAGAATTGACAGCATCGCCTGAATCTCAGCGACCAATCAGCTTTCGACCATCCCAGTGACGTCACATTGGCAGCATTTGGTAGCAATTTTCCTCCTATGGCCCGGTAAAGGGACGGACCCCCCCCCGCCCTAATTGGCCGTCCGTCCTTGGTCTATGGGTACCACGATGTACCGCGTGGTACCTGCCTTGCATTTGTGACCGACTGTGGCGGTCGGCAAGGCGCGGTCGGGTGATATCTAGCATGTTGCCAGATGGCCTGGGTTGATGGGCATTGAGGCTTGGCAGCCATTACGAAACACGTTAGTCAAAACACTATACGGTTACACAACACACAAATCAACAAATACAATTTAACAAATGCAAAGTTGCAACACAAAACAATAAAGAGATGTGATCGAATTAGTTTAACGGAAAATAGGAAAGAAAACCGACTGACTGATGACTGACGAGTAGTAGTAGAAGATGACGTACCGTTAATGTTGATGAAGAATGAAGAAGAAGAATTTGAAGACGAGGCTTGTAGTCCCGACGTATCCGGGTCTCACGGCGCCAATTTGTAACCTTTGCGCTCGTGATAGTCAAAATAAATCCTGAATTCTCGCGTTGTGTTTTAAAAGAAGATGTTCCTTCTGGCTTTTATTGCCTTTAGCCAAAAGAGGTTAGCAAAAGTGTGGCCGCAAGTGACCAGGCCCGACAGTCGAATCCCGGGGGCTCTGCCCGCTCCGGCCCGGCCACGGCTCGGCCGGCGCACAATGCTACACGTCATACATGTACGTCATATCTCGGGGCCAATCATGAAAGGATTACCATATTAGGAATTAAAGCGGGGCGGTCGGCAAGGAGGCTAATTGAGAGGACAGGGAAGTTACTTCGTTACAGTCAGATGTTGACACACTGACGTTCCCACGTCTCGCGTCTTGTTGTGGGTCGTCCGTCCGGTGTCGGGCTGACCAGACCACGCGTCAGCGTAGTTTTATTGGGGCGCCCGGACGTTGGGTGTCCGATGCGGGGCGGCCCGATCTCAGTGGCGCTGACTAGCACCGGCGGCGGCTCGACCGAGTGTGGGAGCGCTGGAGCACGCTGCCGCTGCATGGCTGCCAGCGGCTGCGCCATCTCACGCCGAGCTCATTGAGCGCGAGATGAGGGCGGCCGCGCGGATCGTCACCGGATGCCCCCGCTCCACGCCGACACACGCGGTGATGGCGGAGGCGGGGCTGACCCCTATGGAAGAACGGAAGAAGGTCCTCGCCGCTCGGCTACTGGACCGTGCCCTGGCGTTACCGCCGACCGACCCCCTGTGCAGGACAGCTGAGGCCTCGGCGCCCTCGCGGCTGTCTTCTGTGCGGGGGTGGCGAACGCTGGGCCGCCAGATGCTGGCTGAGGTGGAGGTCACCGCACCAATCGAACCGGTGCTGCCTCCTCGCATCCCGCCGTGGGAGCGCGGAGGAAACGTCACATTCTGCCTGGACGTGGGGCCGCTACGAACCGGTGCGACAGAGGGAGAGAAGATACGGGCTGCCACCCGTCATCTTGCCACTCTGCCACAGAGAGCAACCTGGTTGTGGACAGACGGCTCCGTGGAGGGTGGCGTCAAGGACGGAGGTTCTGGAGCTGTGGTCATCTGGTCGGACGGGGAGGAGGAAGACCTGAAGACACCGGCCGGTCGACACTGCTCCAGCTACCGAGCAGAGATGCTCGCCCTGGCGTCCGGGTTTGAGCACCTGCTCGACAACCCACGAGACCGTGACATCCCCATCGTGATCTGCACGGACAGTATGGCCTCCCTGGCTACCCTCCGGGCGGGGCCAACCGCGCAGACGTCACCGCTAGGCGTCAGGATCTGGCGGGCGTTTTCGCGTCTGTCCCGGGAGGGTCACCGCCCGATTCACGCCCAGTGGGTGCCTTCCCACTGCGGGATCGAAGGCAACGAGCGGGCAGACGCCATGGCAAAGGAAGCGGCGGAGCTACCACAGGAGGACATCCCCGTCGACACCAGGACCATCTGCCGAGCAGTAGCCAGAGCCGCCAGAGAGGCTACCATCAAGAACTGGCCAGCCGGGTGGTTCCGGTCCGTGATGGGCGACCGCCTACCGCCCCGAGTTACCGGCTTGGAGCGGTCCAGCGCGGTGGATGTCCACCAGCTGAGGGCCGGGCACTGATCTGGTGCCCGGTCCTACCTGCACAGAATCGGACGCTCCCCATCTCCGATCCCAGGCGGATGCCAGGGGTGCAACAGAGACGAATGTCGAGAGTCATGGTGCCCCCTGTGCCGAGAGGAGCCGGACAAGCCGGACCATGTCCTCCTCCGCTGCCCCGCCCTGATGGGAACGAGAACAAGAACATGTTACACCATTCACCCGGAACCGGAGGAGGTCCGGGAGACCGCCGTGGTGGCGGCCCTGGCGGCGGCCGCCAGAGGCGCCCAGAGCCGACAGGCTACACTTCACTGAAGTGGAGGGAACAACAACAACAACAGTGTGGGAGCGCCGCTACTGGTATACCTCTGCTGCGGAGAAAGAACTCCTCTGGAAAATATTTGTATCAGACATCTGCGGATTTCTGAGAAGCGAGGGTCGGAAACGGTTTTAACCATTGTAAGCACGAGGGACTTGGGTCCGTGAGTTTCTCCCGGGGCTTGATATTTGGAGCTACACTTGACATTTGTATTGTATTGTATTGTATTTCATTTGAAGAGCACTCCACAGCAACAGTGGCTTTTACGGCTCTGAGTCAACAAGGTGAGCGATGCATTAAAAGGTCGGCATTTAAATCAGGCATACAAACACACTCGTACGTCAATAGACATGTCAGTTGGTACAACCACGGGCAAGGAAGCGCTTCAGCGCCCGGCGGAAGCGCTGTCCGTCGAGAGCAGTCACGACCGGTGGCAGCTGGTTATATAGTGTTGGCGCTCTGGTACAAAAGCGTCGTCTGCCGGTCTCGGTTCTGAAGCGCGGCACGTGCAGCAGACCGTCCTGCCTGGTAGTACGGTGTCGTACTGCCGCGTTCGGACGGAGGACAGTTGCCAGCGATTTCGGCTCTCCACTTCGGAACACTTTGTGGGTGAGACAGATCGTACTATGGTCTGCCAGCTGCTGCACGTCCAGCCAGCCCAGCTGCTTCCGCAGGTCCGCAGCGTGGTCAAATTTTCGCCTGCCGAAAATGACTTTAGCGGAGAAGTTCAAAATCTTTTGAATTTTTTGCTGCGTTCTTTTTTGACCCATTGCCGTAGACAGAGATGCAGTAGCGGACCTGCGAAAGCACCAGGGCTGACACGAGCATAGTAATAATGCCACGGGGTACTAAGTGGCGGGCATGGGAGAGACCTAGGAGAGTCCCCGTGCAGCGGCGGCTGACGGCATCCACGTGGCTGTCCCAGGTGAGGTGTTTGTCGAAAAGTACTCCAAGGTTCTTGACTTGATCAGAGGGAACAAGTCTGGTTTCACAGAATTTAACAGTAAATTTTGGCAAGTGGCGGAGATTTTGACGGCATCCAAAAACAATCAGCTCCGTTTTACCCGCGTTCACCTTAAGGGCGTTTGCGGTAAACCATTGATCTAAAGAGGCCAGAGATGTCTCTAAGTTAGAGATGAGCGTTTGTAGTTCGTTCTTTTTACCTGAGATCAGCACCTGGGTGTCGTCAGCGTATTGGACCACCGCAGCACCTTCAGCGTATGCCGACATGTCATTCGCGAACACCGTGAAAAGTAGCGGCCCGAGCGCCGACCCCTGGAAGACTCCCATGGAGTTGGGCAGCGGCTGTGAAACATTTTCGGCACCCGCGGCATTACGGAGTGAGACACTTTGTGTGTGGCCGCAGAGATATGCTTCAAACCACTCGGTGTCAACGCCGTGCAGCCGTAGTTTGTTTAAAAGTATTCGGTGGTCTACAACGTCAAAACATTTGCTGAGGTCGATCAAGCACATGAGGGTGATCTCCCCGCCGTCAGCGGCTGTGAGGATGTGGTCGGAGACCGACACCAGCGCGGTCTCCGTCGAGTGGTGTGGGCGGAAGCCGTGCTGGTTAGATGACAGGAGGTAATTTGAAGACAGGTAGTGGAAGAACTGCCGCTGAACGATGCGTTCAACGAATTTGGATATGATGGGAATTATGGATATAGGACGGAAGTTAGAAGGGTCGGAAGGGTCACCTTTTTTTGAAAATAGGATGAACGATAGAGTGTTTCCAGGATGAAGGATAATCGGCTCGGATCAGACAGGTGTTGATGATGTGTAGGATGATCTCGCCGACGGCGGGGAACGCGGCCTTCAGTACTCGTACACAAATACCATCTGCACCACAGGCGGACGAGTTGCGCATGCTCAACAGTGTACAGGTCAAAGTGTCTATATCGATAGGTGAGACGCTAAAACCACAGGCACCGACACGTGGAAGACGACAGGGTACTGGACCACTCGCGCCCCGGCCCCGGTTCGCCACCTCAGCGGCCACTCGCGGTCCGACGGACACGAAAAAGTGGTTCAGCTCCTCGCTGGTCAGCTGGGGCAGCACCGGTGTACCGGAGCGTTTACCGCCAACCACGCACTGCAGGCTGCGCCAAACAGATTGTGGCCCCCGCTCACTGATCCTGGCCTCTATGCTCTCACGGGTGTCACGGCGGATGGCTGAGCGGACGGCGCGGTTCAGCTCCCGGTACTCGGCCGAGCCCCTCCCGACGAGGCGTAAGGCAGAGCGGCGGCGAGACATCAGGTCCCTGGTGTCAGCCGAGAGCGGAGGGGCGGCAGGGTCCCTCACTCGCACCGAGCGGAGCGGCGCGTGGCTGTCCAGTATAGGTAAGAATGTAGATGTGAAGGCGTCCCATTTCTCAGTGACAGTCTCAGAGTAAAAGACGCTGCTCCAGTCGGCTAAATACAAATCGGTAAGATAAGCTCGGTGATCCAAGTTTTTCAAACGTCAAGATTGTGTAACTACCGGTCTGCGGCGGTTGCGAGGTAAAATGATGGTAGCATGAACGATATGGTGCGGGCTAAAATGGCAAAAAGTCGTACAGCATTGTGTGACAAGGCCGCGACAGGTCGTTATACAAATATCAATTAGAGAGCCAAAAGTAAAAGTGGGTGTGGTCACAAGCTGATATAGTGAATACTCAGATAAGAACGTCTCGAGTCGAGTACGAGCAGGAGCTGGTGCGCTTTTCAACAGATCGCAGTTGAGGTCACCGCAGATCAGCACCTGCACCGTCGGGTGACTGAGGACGACACTCTGTAGTTGATGTTCCAGGTCTCTGAAGTCGGCGTCGAGCGCCGCCGCCGTGTATCTGGGTGGTCGGTAAACGGAGCACAGCAGCAGCTGTCGGCCGCGGTCGGTCTTCAGCAGCGACCAGACGGACTCCAGACGGCTGTCCGGCGGGCGCTCCGAGGCCGGTTTCAGTGGCGTCACGGACAGGTCCTCCCTGGCAGCGATCGCCACGCCTCCGTATCCCCGCCCGTCGGGACGGTCCACACGGTGGATGGAGTAGCCGGGGAGAACCAATAATCGGTTTGGCACTGCTGGCCTGAGCCAAGTTTCTGACAGTAGCATTACATCATACTTCTGGCGGTGAAGTACGTCTGACAGTTCTGTCAGCTTGGGACGCAGTGACTGAATGTTGAGCGAGCCGATCACCAAGCCCGAGCTGGCCGACGTATGCTGCGGTCCCGACCGGCGCCTCCGTCCCCGAGCCCCGCGCCGCTGAGGCCGCCGGCCGCCGTCCCGGCCCCGCCGCGGCTCCCGAGCCTCCCCACCGCCGCCCGCCGGTAACGGGCCAGGTGACCGAGCACAGGTCGGCGGCGAGACACCAGGAGGGTCGGCCCGGAGCGTCCCGGGCCGCAGGGCGAGTCGGGTCACACCGCCGGGGGCGACGGCGTCCAGCCGAACGGACGGACAGCCGCGGCCAGCTGGCGGGAGCGGAGGAGCAGCCCGGCAAAGGAGAGGAGCCACCGCAGGCAGGCCAGGCGGCCGCGGCGCCGCCGATCGTCTCTGTGTGATGCGCTGACGCAGTGACCGGTCCAGCTCACGGTGACGCGGTGACCCCACCGCCGGTGAAGGTGACGAACGCAGGCGAGTGAGAACACCCGAACGACCGCGAGCAGGACCAGCAGCCGCGCGATGTCACGATGCATTGTCACAGTCCAGGTATGTTAAACCCGATGTCGGGTGCAAGGTAGCACTCAGTGCCGCCTGTGGTTGCAATCGTTAGCCTCACTTTGGACTCTTCACGTTCTCACTCTCTCTTCGCACTAACACAAGGCACAAGGCAGATGAACAAGGGAAGGAGCGAGCAGCGCTCGCGTCCGCACAGGGCGGCGCGCTCAGCTGAACTGGGCGGCGCGCTCCCGGAGCTCAGCTTCTTCAACAATAACGCTGTCAGGGGCAGGATTTTGAGCGGATACTTTCTGGGGTCGGATCATAATGGGTTTAAACACACGACATCGGACGTATAGAACAGTTAATAGCACTAACACAACCACAATACACGTTGTGACCGAGATGGCGGGGATAACGACAGTTTTTATTATGCTGAGCATTGCGTACTCGAATCTGCTGAATATGTTTCTTCAAGTTAGACAAATGGACACTTTTGTCCTGAAGTGGGGGAATGAAGTTTACTGCTTCGGGGAGTGAAACATCAGTTTCCGAAAGATCAACAAGTACATTTGACCCAACATTCATTTCATGGTCGAGAACTCTTACATCCTGATTAAACTTAGTAAAAAGCTGAGTTGCCTGGTCACTTCGCAATTGTTGGCGGTGCTCTGCAAATATACTACTGACTTTACTTTTAAAGAGCTTCACATGATGCTCCAGCTTCAATACAAACGTCCATGATGTCCTGGTTTCGATGGGGATGTGAAGAGTCCAGTGGTCATACGAAGCGTAGAGATGGCCTCGGGGCAGGAAGAGAACGTTTGCCGTTGTCGGAGATGTCAGATAGAACAGGAATGTCAGGAAGAACGGTCTCGCCCACATCTCTGGAACACACACAAACAACTATTAACGTTTCGCAAACATGAGGTTAGTACACGAACAATTGAACGGTTCACTGACCGAACGTAAAATGAACAACAAATAAATGGCTGCGGCATACTAGCCAGAGTCGGCATATCATTAAACACAATACAACGTTGTAACGCGATTACGTTGTCTTCGGCATACAAA